TACTAGCTAAGCTAGGCTTATAACTATTAAACGGTAATACCGAGAGTAGATAATATAAATTAATATAAACTAATACTATAACTCTAATAAGTAGTAGATTAAATAGTGAAATAAATATATATTTAGAAGAGTAGCTAGATACTCGACTATTTAATATACTAGGGGCTTATAAAGTAGTGCTAAGCTTAATAAGTGACTTCCTAAGGCTAATAAGTGATACCTAAGGTGGCTACTGCCTATATAGCGTAAATATATGAATGACGGGACGGGAGAGGTGTAATTCCGGCTGATATAATATATGGTTAAGGCGCTAAGGTACTTAGGCTAAAGCTAAGGCCCGAGTTGCTACGGAGATTTAATATAGACTAAGCGAAATAGGGGGCTATATACGAATAGAAGCTTTAATTATATGGGGATGAGCTTTTTTTCTCTAATCATAAAGATGCATTTTTACTATATAAATTAATATTTAAAAAGTATAAATTTAGCTGGCAGAAAATAATTCTGTCATGAAATCAGGCAGGGGCGGCAAAGATATCAGTCCCCTATATATACTAGAATTAGAAATTTTGGTAGGGGATGTTATACAGGTTCTATAAGGGGGATATTAGATGCCTAAGACATAATATATATGATAGAACCCAGATAGTTTGCCTGCTCTTTCTCTCTCTCTTTCTCCTCTCTGTCCACCCTAGTACATACAGTGCTTTCTCTATTGGTTATCCATTGTATTGTACCCCCATGAAAATATAGAGTAAGTGCACACTTTCCCTCCAAGGCCTGGGCGATAACAATCTCGACAAAGCAGAATTTATTTGGACTAGTCATCGGGGTATTCATCTTTCATATTACTCACAAACATCCTCTCCGTCTCATCCCACCGCTTGAAATGCTTACCCGCAATGGCAGTCAAGCTTTTCGGCAATTCCGTAAAGCGAGGCAGAATTATTCCAATATTTTCCTCTGCCACATAGCGGACACTTCGATCGGCCACACTATGCATCCATTGTTAGCCATTAGTCAAGAAGAGCACGTACAAAACCACCCACAGCACATGATAGAAGCTTTGGTGCCTGCCCGCTTCTAATCGATCAATCCCCATTCTCCTCATCCACTGTTCGCCCGCGCCACATTCCGAGTCCCAGCCAGTGATAATAGCCTCGTAATGATAGCGACGATGGCGGAAAACTTGGCCCACCCTGTACTGTATGTTTGCATTGCCACCGGTTCGCCTCCGAATCTGCTTGGGGATCTCATCCGCAGCCCTCATCACGTGAAGGCTCTCCAGTATGTGCTCATGCTCGAACAGCCCATGAAACAATGGAGCGATATACTGCTCGACTAAAAAGATATCAGAAGGAAAGTCTGTAGCGAACAGTTCCATGAGCCATGGCAACTGATGGCGTAGATCCATCGGCCTCGAATCACCCGATAGTAGCATCACAGACCAAAGTGCTGCGTACTTTGCGCTCACAACATCTATCGAGGCGGCACGCGAGGTCGGATTTTGGGGTTCGACGCGAATCGAGTTCAATATGTTCTTACCACAGCGCAAGACAACGCCCGAAGTCGATGCTTCACCCAAAGTTGCGATCTGATCCTCCACGTTGGACATGCCCAGGAATGTTAATTGGCTGCGCAGGTTTGAGACAGCAGTCTCTCTTGCACCCCGAAACGGGTCCAAGTAAAAAGGCTCCCCTGGCTCCATCCCACCCAAAGCATTACCATTGATATCTGAGCCTAGCTCGGGGGTTATGATCACATGCACATGGAACGGAAATCCACAAGGACGGGCGTTTAGGCCTACACCTTGCGCAATAAAGCAGTATATTGCAGCCGACACCAATGGCAGAGAATTATGTCCTGGATCTTTTAGAGCCAGCCCTAGAAAGTTATGCTCTAGAGAATGATATTCTCGATCTGGATTGATCCCCGTCAGGTCATTCAGCGCTAGCCAGGATGCTATGGCTAGTGCCTTCTCACGAGGGGTGAAGAGATAAAGATCAGGGTGAGATGCGACAAAGCGGTCAAGGATCTTATCCAGAGAGTCTCGTATCTAGATCAGAGTCAGGTATAGACTTGTCGAAGGGTTACCCTGGGACATCACCTACTTCATCCAAATCCCCAGTTCCACTTTCGGATATAAAAAGATCAAAGCAGGCCAAGGCTCTGTCGAGTGACACGGGTTCTCCACGTTTGAGTTTCGCCCATTCCGGTATGGCAATGCTTCGGTGTAGGCAAGTCAAGAGCTCGTGGGCATAGTATCTTTTATGATTGGCACAAGGCACTGGTCAATTTGAGGGAAACACATGCCAACTTGCATAGAATTAGTAGCCCACCTTCTGGCCAAATAATCCTCCCCGGAATCTACCATGCTATAACGTAGGAGAGTATCCTTTGTATCGTATCCCATATTAATAACACGGCGACACTTTTCGATGCGGCCCGCCTGGCTACCAAGGATACTATCAAGAAGCCGAGAGACAGATCGATCAACCTGATATTTAAAGACAAAGAGCGCTTTCCAATCAGTGGAATTCACTGGGCGGGCAAGCTTCTGGGGCATATCATGTCGTCCATCCCAGAACTTGTAACGAGACTGGCAATGGTGACGCCATAGTAAACGCTCATTCGTTACATTTTGAAACCGGCTGTTGGTTTGCTCGACGGCGGCGCAGGATTGAGGAGAAGAATAACATAGAATCAAATGCAGGATCTCGTCTGGAAGATGGATTAAAGACCGAACCATCCCTGAAGGTGCAAGCAATATTGACGTTGGGAAGACCAAAGCAGAGGGCAATCAGAACGGAAGAACAACCGGTTTACATTCCTCAATAAGTGAAAGAGAAAAGAAGAGAAGAGAAAAACCAAATCAGTAAGCAGACTCGAAATCTAGATGATCATGTAGGAAAGGAGAATAGGAAAGGAGAATAGGAAAGGAAAATATTTGAGGCCTGGAGATGTCCGTTTCTCTCCCCGCTCTTATCTTCTTTATCGAAGTCGCCAAGCCTTTTTTTATTTTCCTCTTCTTCTTGCTTATAGATACTTAATAGATACCTAAGTACCCTCTACTCCCTCTACTTCCCTCTACTTCCCATCTCCTTGGGATACTTGAAATGAATTAAAAAGGTTGCTCGAAAACAATTATTGTATTCCCCATTATTTACCTCCTTGCACGCCATGGGCCAATTTCATTCCAGCCACGCAAGCTCCACTCCAGAACAATCAGACCAGAAGACCGACTACTATGAGCTGCTTGGTGTAACACGTGGTGCAACAGACGAGGAGTAGGTTCACAACGGATACGTGATATGGACATAGCTAAAACTTGCCCAACCTCTCAGGATCAAAAAGGCATATCGGAAGAAAGCCCTTGTGTTGCACCCAGATCGAAATTATGGGAATGTTGACGAAGCTACTAAGCTATTTGCCGAAATCCAATCCGCATATGAAGTACTGGCAGATCCCCAGGAACGAGCATGGTACGACTCCCATAGCGATGCATTTTTAGGGACCAACGGAAATACCGATGATCAACACTCGTACAATGTTCGAATCACAACCGCCGAAGATGTTCTCAGACTCTTTTCGAAGTTCAGTCCTCGGATGGAATTCTCCGACTCCCCGACCGGATTCTTTGGTGGTTTGCGAGAGCAATTCGAACAGCTCATGCTGGAAGAAAGGCTGGCCTGTCAGTGGGAGAATCAAGATCCTATTGAATATCCATCATTCGGATCTGCTGATGATGATTTTGAGACCGTTGTACGGCCCTTCTATGCTGCATGGACCGGATTCTCTACCCAAAAGTCATTCGCATGGAAAGATGCTCATCGTTATTCTGAAGCGCCTGATCGTCGGGTGCGACGAATGATGGAAAAGGAGAACAGACGTCTTCGGGAGGAAGGGATCCGAGAGTTCAACGATGCTGTCAGATCCCTCGTGGCTTTTGTCAAGAAACGTGATCCGCGGTATAAAATCAATGCCCAAAGTGAAGCTCAACGCCAGGAAACCCTCCGCAAGTCTGTGGCTGCACAAGCTGCAAGATCACGAGCTGTGAATCAATCCAAGATGCGGGATCATGTTGTCCCTGACTGGGCCCAGTCAGAGCAACCAGTGGCAGATGACGAAGACATAAGCGAAGAGAGCGAAGTCGAGAGTTTTGAATGTGTGGCATGTCACAAGTATTTCAAAAGCCAGAAGCAATTCGAAGCGCATGAACGTAGCAAGAAGCATTTGAAGACAGTTAAACAGCTATGCTGGGAGATGCGAATGCAGAATGACGAATTGGATTTGGAGTCTGGGTATGACTTGAGCACCAATGCAGTTACATCTAAACCTCTTGAGGCTGGTGAAGGGGAAGATGAGGTCGATACTGCCCCAGAAGCCGATCTAGGATTAGATGCCTCCTTGAAGAGCCACCATGTTGATGTTGAGGATCGAGGAAATTCTCATGGTCTAGGGGAAACCACTCCCCTTTCCGAGCTAAGCTCCCCAACGTCTTCGCACGATGATGATTATGCCTCCAGGGAATATGTCGAAACGAGGCTCCGCGCCGACATGGACTCTTTGTACACAGGGGCCGGAGACTCTCCTGATATACCTGATCATCCGTTGTCTTCGAACGTCGCCGAGCAGTCACCAACTCTCAAAATGGGCAAGGCCAAGCAGAAACGGGCGAAAAGGGCCGCGAAGCAAGCGGATCAATCCACCGGGTTTATCTGTGCAAACTGCCAGGCTCCCTTCACATCCAAGTCTAAATTGTTCGACCATATTAGAGAACTTCGCCACGAACAACCCTTGGGGTCTGTTGCTAAGAAGGGGAGGAAACGCTAGTAACACATTCATGGAGCTCATTTACGTTTCTCTTCTTAAACAACAGGCAAAAAGATATATCAGGTCCATCGAGTCTTACATTTCTATTCTCTCTGGTTTAACAAGGCGGCATAAATGCCGGTCATGAAATCTTCCCCTTCTTCCTAACACAGACCAAACATCTAACTCTAACCTAACCCAGCTCGCGAATTCTTCACGACCTGTGCGACAGGCTGCAGAATTCCCTTGTTGTCGGCAGCACCTAGAGCAGTACCTGTACTCCATCCCATCTTCTCCAACATAGCCCGCCCTCGGTTTTCAGCTCCGATTTCTGGAGCAGAGGCGCCAACAACATCGCCATCCATATATGAAGCAGCGCCGGACTTGGCACGCTTGTTTCGGGGGACTTTCGGCACTTCCGTGCCCCATGATTTGAACAACCGACGGTTGAACTTCCTCCCGGATAACAGCTCGTCAACGTTAGATATAGTCTTTGATGTGTATCGCGGAGTGCGCGCCGTCTTATTGAGAACCGGGAAGCGAGAAAGTCCATGGCCGCGTGACTGTGATTTCAGATTCAGTGCATTGGCCAATTCATGTATCAGCTTTCTGCGTTGCTTGGTCATGGGCGGCAGAGACAGGCTACATTGGGTTAGCTAGGTACACGGGGATGAGCAGATATAAAACACACCTATTTTTAGTTGACATGAGAAATGAGCGAATCTCGGCCATAAATTCCTCCATGTTCATTTCCTTGGGGTACTTGACCTTAAGGTCTGGGTTCCCTGCTTTTCTGCCCAGTAGACCTTGTGCCCGGAGCTCTGCCCGCTCCATCTTCCGCAGCTTCTTTTTGGTCCGGTCGTTCTGCCAGGCCTCCTGTAACTCGATTTCGAACTCACTGTCGGATTGCACCGGGTCGGGGATGGACAGCTTGCCCTTGGTTTTCTTCCGTAGACTTGGCCGGTCAAAGTCCATTATGTCAAACCCGAAGTATGGGTCAGACTCAAGAGCATCCGCAAGTGCCGATGCCGATGGAAAAGAGGGCTTTCCATGACGGGAACCCTTCTTAGTGGACCTGGAATATCCGTTCACCATGTCCTCAAGCAGCACAAAGTCTTCGAGGGTGTCGTCATCTGATCCAGATATGACCATATCGCCCTCTTCATCTTCGCTTGATGTTGGAATCGAATCATGTTCGGTATCAATTTGCATTTGGGCTAGTGATCCTGGTGATTCAATTTTGGTGCCTGTGGGACTCGAGGCCGACAGGTCTAGTTGCGTTGCAGCTTTTTCAACATCAATGCCACCTTCTAGGTCAATCTTTGCACCGGATGTCACTTCCTGGTAGTCACTGTCGATGTTGGCAATATAGTCGGCTATTGGGTCGGTCTCCACTTCTGGTAGCCAGTCTGATCTCTCCGTGTTGGATTCAGGGTTGCCTGTAGGGGTAGCGGCTGGCGAAGGGTCTTGGTGCGTATCTTGGTGCGCATCGTCCGGCGTTGGTGTGTGAGACTTTCGCAACGATACCACAGTATTCGCCTGGACAATTTCTTGGATCTCGTTCTGGTGCGTTTCGATAAGAACGGGCTTAGTATTCCTCCTGCGGCCAGTGAACACGACCTCATCCTCACTCGAGTCATCTATATCCGATAATTTGGACTGCAATACTGGGTCTGGGTGCTCGGTATGAACAACCCCTTGTCCCTTTGAGTCGAAGACGAATGGAACCTCAATATCTGCCTTTTTATCCGGTATATCATCGGTCTCGGGTTCTTCCCTGTTGGTATCCGATTTTGTCTGATCCTCATCTGCATGTTCCAATGTCGGTTCCAATGTCGGTTTCAAGCTTCCTGCGCTCACAAAGTGAACGGCTTTGTGACGAAGGCTGTCTGACCATGACCGCTGATGATTTTCGGTATTCCGAGCTTCTTGCTGCATGGTAAACTGGTGTGGCGATGCATCTTTTTTTTCGAACATGTTAGTATATTATTAAATTAACAGGAGCATATTAGTTACCTCTGCCCAGTGGTGCCCGCCTGGTACGGGCCTTGAATTTCCCATGGCGGGCCATGGGTGTGGAATCTGATATGTTGATGGAGAAAAGTAGTGAAGAGGATATTCTTTTGCCTTTGGGTCGGGTCCGGGCGGTGACTACGGAGATTCTACAGAGGGTAACAAGAATATGGGGTTATACGTATACGTATAATCGTTTTTCTTATATATTTTATTTCAAGCTTTATCTTTTTTAAAGAAGGAATATAAGAATGTAGTAGAGTGTAGATTTCCAAATCATTGCATACGTTTGTAGTCGGTGACGTCTTGGCTCGTGACTGAAGATGTCCCCTCACTTGAAGATTCGACTGCACTTATTGTCTAGAGCTTTTACTGTTTGTCTATTGTATCTTCCTTTTTGTTTGGTGTCTTTCTTTCTTTCTTTTTTTTTTTTATATATATATATATATGGTTTGGTCACTTGGTTTTTCGAGTCACCAAGTTAGCCTCCGGGATAGATATATATATATCTATCTACCTACATCTACACTCCTCCGATCTTGAATCACCACCCCCCATCCGCACCACAAACCACCACAACCACACGACTGACAGCTGAAAGCTAGCACCAACCATGACCATGGACATGGAAAAGTGCAAACGCATAGTACAATACTTCTGGGACCCAGAACCCAGAAATGACATACCTGCGGCGTCGATATGGTGCCTGGGCAGGGAGTATGCACCCCCGCAACCACTCAGCGACCCGGCCAGTGAGTCTCAAGTAAATATACCACAGAATCCACCCCTAACATATCATGCAGGCAACAACCCACACAGCCCTTCAAGCCAGCCCAATGCTAACACATTGAACGATACAACATGGCCAAAGGCATTTCTCTCCGATTTTGGATCGAGGATCTGGATCACGTATCGATCAAACTTCACACCGATCCCACGAACAAAGACACCAGAAGCAACATCTTCGATGACACTGGGGGTACGCCTGAGGAGTCAGCTGATGGACCCCCAGGGCTTTACATCAGATACAGGGTGGGGCTGCATGATCAGGTCTGGGCAAAGCCTTTTGGCGAATACTTTTTCAGTTCTATTACTAGGACGAGGTAAGAGATGCATCTAAAATCATGCCCCCCAAAACACCATCAAAAAAGTACAAAAAACAAAAAAAAATAATACAGAAATTCAGAAAGAAAAAAGCTAATCAGATATCCTAGACTGGCGTCGAGGGGGAAAAGTGGAGGAAGAGTCAAAGCTAATCTCGATGTTCGCCGATCACCCCGAAGCTCCCTTTTCTATACATCGATTTGTCAACCGCGGTGCAGAATCATGCGGGAAATATCCAGGTGAATGGTTTGGGCCATCAGCAACCGCTAAATGTATCCAGTACGTGTCAGTGGGAGGGGAAAAAAAAAAAGGAACATCCAGTGATGCTGACGGTGGTAGGCTACTTTCAACCCAGAGCGAGGTCCCCCAACTCAGGGTCTATGTGACCAACGACACATCGGACGTTTATGAAGACAAATTTGCACATGTGGCCCACGATGAATCAGGTCGAATCCAACCAACACTCATCTTGATTGGAACCAGGTTGGGGATCGATAATGTCACCCCAGCGTACTGGGATGGACTCCGAGCTGCACTGACATATCCCCAATCCGTTGGCATTGCAGGGTAGGTCTATGCGTCTATTCGATATAAAGTGTACGCTAACCAAATTAGCGGACGCCCATCGGCATCACATTACTTTGTAGGGGCCCAAGACTGCCACCTCTTTTTCCTTGATCCGCATACCACCCGACCTGCGACATTATATCGACCAGATGGGCTTTACACGCAAGAGGAACTGGATAGCTATTACACCACCCGACTGCGGAGAATCCATATCAAGGACATGGATCCTAGCATGCTGATTGGATTTCTCGTCAAGGATGAAGATGACTGGGCTGACTGGAAGAAACGAATTCAATCCACGCCCGGACAACCCATTGTACACATCTTCCCCGCCAGCACCAGCCAGATCGTGGCCATGGTCGGGCGGAGGCTCTGGATGAAGTCGAGGCGCTGGACGATTCAGATGAGATGGAGTGAGATATCGATAAAGCAGAAGTTGCTTTGCCTTTCTTCTTTTTTTTTGTGCAAAATTTACCAGGAAAAGAGAAATAGAATCATGATGCAATGCACTTAAGCATTTGGAATTTCGCGTTCTAGTAGGGGAGGCCAATCCATGCCTGCCCCAGACCCGAGTTATGTTACACCGCATTCACGTAGAGTGGTAACCATTCAAAAAAAAATCACCCATCGGGGAAAAGAAAATTCAAGCCATCCCATGACGCATTAAGAAACCCGCAGAACACCCATAACCGACCACCTCAGAGCCCATAACAGAACAAGAGGCAGTAAAAAAAAGACAAGCTGAAAGAAAAACGTAAAAGAGGCCACTTATTTGGCGGAAGAAGAGTACTTGGTAACAGCCTTGGTGCCCTCAGAGACGGCGTGCTTGGCCAGCTCACCGGGGAGGATGAGACGAACAGAGGTCTGGATCTCCCGGGAGGAGATGGTGGACTTCTTGTTGTACGCAGCCAGCTTGGAGGCCTCGGTAGCGACACGCTCGAAAATGTCTGGATGAACAAGTCAGCAAACATGATGTGACAAACGCGTAAACGCGTTGATTTCCGAAAAGAAACATACCGTTCACGAAGGAGTTCAAGATGGACATGGCACGAGTAGAGATACCAGTGTCAGGGTGGACCTGCTTGAGGACTGGAAATGGAGTCAGTATGGACGTGTTTTATTTTTGCCCCCCTGGGTTGGACGTTGTTTTCAGGAACTCACCCTTGTAGATGTAAGAAGAGTAGGTCTCCTTGCGGGTCTTGCCGCGCTTCTTCTTCTCGCCAGTGGCAGCGGTGGCAGTCTTCTTGCCAGCCTCCTTCTTCTCAGCAGGGGCCTTGCCACCAACGGGGGCCTTGCCACCGGTGGAGGGCTTCTTCTCAGCGGCCTTGGGGGGGCATTTTGAATGTGGTTTGAAAAGTTGAGGGTTAAAAAAAAAGTTGGAAGAGTTTAAGAGTAAGGATGGATGAAGCGTGTGGGTGGGAAACAGAGATGGTATGTGGAAGGTGAAGTTAGAGAGACGCGGTGACGAGGGGAGACAGCATCTTTATACTCGTGTTCCAAAGGCCAGTTGATCCTGGAGGGGGGTGCAAAGGAGGCCGAATTTCAATACGGTAATACTTTGGTATGATCCGTATGATTAAACTGACATTGACGCGTCTCAAGGTGGGAAAAGTGGGGTAAAAGCACACTCAGGTGACTGTCATGTATGGTAATAGCTTTATAATACTACACCATTCCTAAAGCAGAATGTCTGATCTGATTGATCATTGGCTGCAATATCTAAGCGAGACCGTGATCTGGAAGGCTCATTGATGCTGCCCCAACGTCACCCTCACCGCGTCCTTATAAAGGTCCTCCGCTTCCACACGCTCTCCCACCTGCTCTTGCGACTTTACACCATAACTCAAGCTCTCCACATTCAACTTCTTTTTCACTTTTCACCAAATCTCCCCCGTTTTCTTCAAAACAAACCATCAAAATGACTGGCGGAAAGTCCGGCGGCAAGGCTAGCGGCAGCAAGAACGCGCAGTCGTAAGTTGTTTACATATTTCGCATATATGTATATACACACGTTTCATACTGACATCAACATCTTCAGCCGTTCCTCCAAGGCTGGTTTGGCCTTCCCCGTTGGCCGTGTCCACCGTCTGCTCCGCAAGGGCAACTACGCCCAGCGTGTTGGTGCCGGTGCTCCCGTTTACCTCGCTGCTGTTCTTGAGTACCTCGCTGCTGAGATTCTCGAGTTGGCTGGAAACGCTGCTCGTGACAACAAGAAGACCCGTATCATTCCCCGCCACCTCCAGCTCGCCATCCGCAACGATGAGGAGCTGAACAAGCTCCTGGGTCACGTCACCATTGCCCAGGGTGGTGTTCTCCCCAACATCCACCAAAGTACGTTATTCCCCCACATTATTTTCGCATCATTCACTAACACCGTTTCCAGACCTTCTCCCCAAGAAGACTCCCAAGGCCGGCAAGGGCAGCCAGGAGCTGTAAGGGGTTTCTCTCTCTTTTTTTTCTTCTCGCGGGTTGTTTGTTTTCTTTTCCGGCGCGGATTGGTTCTTTGACACGATAATGGGGTTATGGGACGGGCACGTTATGGCTCTGCGTTTTCTCTTTTTTTCCCTCCATCAATTTCCTGGTTGTACATTATGTCTACGGACATGGAATGATACCGACGACCTTAACTTGCTTGAGGGATTTCAACTTTCGGATACTAGCCCTGGGCATGAGCCCATATCAATGAAAACTCCAGGTCTTTCAAGTGTTAGATATACCCACATTGCATTTCGTATTTCAGGTATACATACATATATAGAAAATTGTATTTCCGGCGATTTTATGTTCTTCCCTATTGTACATGAACGCAATTGTTGATCCTCGATTATGGTCCAGGTACTCTACATCTGCAGCAAAGATACGCATACTTCATGTTGCATAGTTCATGTTTGCAATTGGCCTAATCCTCATATTGTGTTTTGCGATATTGACTTAGTGTGCACCGGGAGGTTGGGCATCTGCATTGTTTCACGGTTAGTGCGAATCAAGTTGTATGGGGGATGTGAACGTACACGGCAGGATTCGGGCTGGCAGGTTGCGCTCCCATTTGTTGCCGCCGGGCGCAGTAGGTGCCCGGTATGGATCAGGGTGCTTCCAGGTCGCCAAGAGCTTCTCTGTCTCGCGCAACAAAACCTATAGCATGTGTTAGATTTGCCAATCATGAATTTCTGTTTCGCATACCTGTTGCTGGCGAGGATCACGGACGTCCTTGTTGGCTTCAAAAAGGGATCGGATATAGACTGCTTGTCCACGCCAGATTTGCCGGTGGACGGCCCAGTCAAGAGACAGTTTCAGGGAGCGCCGGTAGAGCGACCTACAAATAGATCAGTAAATAGTCATCTAGGGGGACAACAGCCTACTCACTTAACAGCGGAGGTGGACATTGTGCTTCAGGTTTTGTCCCGGGTCCAATTCCGGCCAGCTGGAAGAGGGAAAGGAAAATGAAAGCAAAAGAGCGTATGTGTTGATACAAAAAACGGAAATGACAACCTTGGAGGTTGTTAGAGTGCCTGGTGGACAATGGATTGGGGGTTGAGGGTTTCAATGTCGTCAAGGTTGACTATTCTGGGCTTCCTAATTCGCTCGGCATAAATTTGCTCAAATGGTCCTTGCCCGGTCCCGTAGCATAAATAGCTTCAATGGTCTCTCCCCGTCGCCGTAGTCGTAGCGTAAGAAGGATAGTCCGCCCTCTCTGCCGGAAGGGTGCCCGGTTTACCTAAGAACCCGATCTAATCCGAGCTTCATCTTCTTTACTTCCTCTAATTTTTTTAGAGTTGAAGCGTTTTCTCTTACACTGGTTCGGCTTCTTCCCAGCTGAATAAATTCTACTTTGATTCATCATGGCTTCTCGGATCTCTATTGCGCGCCTCTCGGGCCAGCGCTTCTCGGCTGTGGCCAGAACTCCTCGGGCATCAAGCCAGTTCCGCAATGTCAAGGGATTGTCTACTCTTACGCGGAAGACTTCTGCTCGCTCAGCTTCAGGCCTATTGCAGGTCTCTTCCTCCGGGTAAGTATCTATGTCATTACCATCCGACGCAATTTTAGCTCATACGAACTTATAGCATCAATGTCTCGCGACTCAACATTGCTCCTCTTGGAGGCCACCAACTTCGCACCTATGGTAAAAGCTTCTCTTGAGCAATCATGTTGGTCAATTGCTAATAGTACTTAGCCGACTCCATCATCAAGGTCCCTAGCATGGCTGAGTCGATTACAGAGGGTACTCTCAAGCAGTTCTCAAAACGTAGGTTACTTTACCCGTGATCGAATATTTGATGTTTACTTATTCTGGTATAGAGGTTGGCGATTTTGTCGAGCGCGACGAGGAGATTGCGACAATTGAAACAGACAAGGTGAATACCAATTCTGCCACCCCCCCTCCCCACGCGCCTAGTACTGTTGCTAACATGGATTTTCCGTTAGATTGATGTTTCCGTCAATGCCCCAGAGTCTGGTACCATCAAGGAGTTCCTCGTGAATGAAGAAGATACTGTTACTGTCGGCCAGGATCTCGTCAAGCTCGAGCTTGGCGCCGCTCCCGAAGGCGGAAAGAAGGACGAGGGTGCCGAAAAACCCAAGGAGCCCGAACCCAAGGAGTCTGAGCCCAAGAAGGATGCTTCGCCCGCCCCTGCCGAGGCCGAGAAGCCCAAGGAGCCCGAACCTAAGAAGGCTGCGCCCCCCAAGGAAGCTCCCAAGGCGGAGTCTAAGCCCCAAGCTGCTGAACAGCCAGCTCTTGGTGACCGTGAGGAACGCAGGGTATGTTGACTGCCAATAGGCCTTTGACCTTGGGTTAGGCTAATCTTGGTCCAGGTTAAAATGAACCGTATGCGTCTGCGTATTGCCGAGCGCCTGAAGCAGTCCCAGAACACCGCCGCTTCTCTCACCACTTTCAACGAGGTTGACATGTCCTCGCTGATGGAGTTCCGGAAGCTATACAAGGATGATGTCCTCAAGAAGACCGGTGTGAAGCTTGGCTTCATGAGCGCCTTCTCCCGTGCTTGTGTGCTTGCCATGAAGGATATCCCCGCTGTCAACGCTTCCATTGAGGGTCCTAACGGCGGTGACACCATTGTCTACCGCGACTACGTTGACATCAGCGTTGCAGTTGCTACCGAGAAGGGTCTTGTGACTCCTGTTGTCCGTAACACGGAAGGCAAGGATCTTGTTGGAATCGAGAAGGCCATTGCCGATCTCGGAAAGAAGGTGAGCAGTTGTTTTCCCTTGGAAGGGAGGGCATGTCCAGTTTACTGACTTGTGATAGGCTCGTGACAACAAGTTGACTATTGAAGACATGGCCGGTGGTACCTTCACCATCAGCAACGTATGTTTCCTGTCTTTGCGTGTTTAAGAACAACACAGCTAACTTATCCCAGGGTGGTGTCTTCGGCTCGCTGATGGGCACCCCAATCATCAACGTTCCCCAAACAGGTCAGTTCTCTCGTATCATGTTTTGGAGGTTTGAATCTAATTTCGTCTAGCTGTCTTGGGTCTTCACGCCATTAAGGACAAGCCTGTCGCTGTGAACGGCAAGGTCGAGATCCGTCCCGTACGTGCAACAATCCAATCACTTTTCTTTTATTCGGTTTACTGATATTTATAGATGATGTATCTGGCCCTCACCTACGATCACCGTCTCCTGGATGGTCGTGAGGCCGTTACTTTCCTTGTCAAGGTATGCATACCCCCTCGTCCGCTCCAATCAATCGCTAATCCCATTACAGGTCAAGGAGTACATTGAGGACCCCCGACGCATGCTACTTGGTTAGGTAGCGTGAGTGTTTTGTCTCGCGCCTTTTATTATCTGTGTTCTTGTGCCTGGAGGCCTTGCGCCCTTGTAAATTATTATGTTCCAAGATATAAATGCAATGTCAAGGACAGGTCTTGTAGTGGGCTCCTGTGTACCGTTGGTACTATTCTTGTGTTATATTATATGTATACTGCTTTCGGTTTGAAGTCGGCTGTTTGAATTTGATTTATATTGAAAGATCAATGTGGTGATCAACTTGATGTACATGTAGTATTGCGTTTCAGGCAACTCGTGATCCGCGACTCTGGCTTTCCCTCACATGTCTGCTTGATTTGGCAACGTAGAAGCACATAGAAGAACGTGTTCTCGTATCCTTGAATGGAAATATGGAAATATTAAAATCCACAATAGTTTCGAACCCGCTGTGTCTCCTCCCGGGTCAACCCCTCAAGTCGACCTTGCTCCAGCTGAAGAAGGAGGGGCACGTCCAGGACTTCCATGAGATCTTCGAAAAAATCGACGTAACGATGTTGCAGGGCTTGGAGAGGAAACGTCTCATCAAGCTCTTCTCGACTCATTGGACCCGCGGTACCAAAGGGGGCTGGCATGTGTTCCAGGAACATGGTACGGCTAACCTCCCACCATATATCGAGCTCGCCGTCGTTTGTTTTCCAGTTGCGGAGTCTGTCAAGCTGGTCGGGGAAGCGCTCTTGTTCTTCCAGCATAGCATGAACCATGAAATGGGCACCGAGGTCGAACCAGCGTCTCCGGGATACATGGGCCACCGCAGAGTGACATAAGTCCATGAACTGAACTGCGATATCAGACAGGGGAACAAAGTGACCAAGGTCGCGATCTTTGGGAGGGTCCCAGTGGAGAAATAGGTTGGACAGGTAGAAAATGCGCAATTTGAAGTCCAGGTCCCAGGGTAGGCGGCCTTCGAGACGATGACCAAGGAGCCGCCGGTGGAATTCTAGAACTGTAGTCAGTATGAATGATCCTTTGCTGGGGAAATTCGGATGCTCACGTTCAACAAGAAGCGCAAACCATTCAATGTCTGCGGTTGCTCTTGCTTCATAGATGGCTCCTATGAGCATGCTGATACACATGCAGACCATGTAGTCAAGGATCATAAGGTCCACAGTGGCTCGGATGCCAGGGTTTCGTTCCGGCATTTTTGAGGTCAACACTGAAGCGGGAAGGATAAGAGATGAGAGGTGTGTGAATGAATCCTGGAGGGGTCCATGATGCCCCAGAAATAGCTGTTACCACGACGATTGTGTCAACACGCTTAGTTGGCGCGATTAGTCGGCGATGTCGATGTCTACCTACCTAGGTAGGTACCTGGGTACCTGGGCAGGTGTGGGCAAGTTTTGATATTACCACGTGACTTGGTACTCCATACCCATACCTAGGTGCCCAGGTGGGCATATCTATTAGGTAATCGTACTTCTACACCTGGGCACCTCGGCACCTGTAAAATGCGGAATTATTTGTTGTATTTAATATTAGAGATATCTAACTACATTCTATTGTGTGTATACTATATTTATATTATGTTTATTATATGTCTATAGGAATTTGTTGTTAATCACGTGGAGTGAATGCGGACATCATGGCGTCATTTATATATAACATGTGACGGAGAGTCATACATATGTACTTACTATGTAATTGACCAAACAGTGAACATTTCCCTCTTTCAACAACCCCATGCTTAGTATCTTAACCCCAAAATTCAGCCTCAGCAAAGCAACACAGGCTATGACCATGGCGTGGTACTGTTCTGGATCCACCAACACCGAGTTGATTGAGAACCTATTCAAGGCTGGACTGATCCACGATGAGCGTGTGAAAGATGCCATGATAGGAGTGAGCACATTAATGTACATCTGTTTCATTGTTCTTTCTAACATGACCAAAGGTTGATCGAGCCCATTATGCCCCATCAAGGGCGTATTCAGACTCGCCTCAACCCATTGGATATGGGGCCACCATATCAGCACCGCACATGCATGGCCATGCATGTGAGTATCTGATTGATTATCTCAAACCAGGCTCTAGAGTGTTGGATATTGGATCTGGTTCGGGATACTTGACCCATGTCCTTGCCAATCTGGTGACCAGCCCTGGCAACCAGGGACAGGTGATTGGCATTGACCATATCCCCGAGCTGACAGACCTGGCTCGTACCAACATGGACAAGTCCAAGTCAGGTAGTGGGTTACTGGCATCCCAAACTGTCAAGTTTATCACTGGCGATGGACGTCTTGGATGGAAAGAAGGTGCACCATACGACGCCATCCACGTTGGCGCCGCGGCCGACAAGCTTCATCCCACTCTGGTGGACCAGCTGCGTGCTCCGGGGCGGCTTTTCATTCCGGTGGAAACCGAAGACGACGAGAATGACAGAGATAGTATCAGCGGAGGTCAATATATTTGGGTGGTGGATAAAAAGGAAGACGGATCCATTCACAAGGAGAAGGTCTTCCAGGTGAGTTATGTGCCCTTGACGGATGCTCCAAAAGGATGAGAATGGAATCCAGACACCTTTCTCTCTCTCTCTCTCTCTCTAATTTTTTTTTTTTTCCCACTATAGCCTACTTCATTCAAAATAAAAATAAATAAAAAATAATATGAGTTCATGTGCTGTCTCCTATTTCCAAATACTTCGAGAAACTCCATGAACACCTGGTATGTTCCACCGCAATAAAAAAGACAATCCAAGATCAGCGGAATCCACCAGGGAATTTGAAACCTCCCTGGAATTGCGGACCACCCTGTTGGAAGAAGAACTGTTGACCTCCACCGAATGGGTTGCCCTGGAACGGATTGCCCCGCTGCTGCGATTCAGGATCATTGGGGTCGTCGCCGTTGTCAAACCGTGTTCGGAGTTCGGAGTCCGATAGAACCTCGTAGGCTTCATTGATGGCCGCCATCTTTTTCTCTGCTTCTTCCTTGCTTACACCTTGGGCATTGGCCTTATCAGGGTGATGTTGCTTCACTAACTGGCGATACGCACGCTTGATCGTCCGATCATCCGCATCACGGCTGATACCCAGGACCTTGTAGTAATCTTTCTGCTTGGAACGCTTGAGGAGGGTCTGAGCCTTTTGTTGGAGAGATTGCGCTTCTTGAGAACTGGGGTGGTGTTCCTTGGCCAATTCGAGCGTACGTATGGCGTCCTCAAATCGATCCTCGTCCAAAGCGGTCTGGGCCTTATACAGAAGCCCGGCAAGTGAGTGAGGAACAAGCTGGAGAGCTTCCGTGCAGTAAGGACCAGCCTTTTTGATCATACGCATCTTGGGATATGTTAGCGACAGAAACCAAGCCATGTGACGTGGGTACTCACTTCACGGTAAGCCTCGCAGGTCTTCTCGACCAGGAACGTATAAAGATTATTGGGTGCCAGGCGATGAATATGGTTAGCCTGTCTTGCTTCTTCAACATCGGCCTTAACATCTGCAATCAGTCCACTGGATTCACTGTCGCCGACCATGAGATTTGCCGCATTGCTGAATTTGCGGGCGCCCAGGGCCGTATGCAATTTTTCTAGCTGTTTGGCAAGCTTCCGTTCACGTCGATAGAGACGGTTGCATGGTTTTGAGTCGGGATCAGCATGAAGACATTTACGGATTTGAGCAAGGCCGCGGTCACTGTCCCCTAGAGAGTAGAACAGCATGGACGACATTTGCAGGTGAGGTTCAACCAAGCTCGGGGACATTTGTAGAACATGTGCTAAATCACTGAGCGCTTCTTCCGTCTCGCCTTTTTCAAAGTGACAATGGGCTCGAGCCTGCCGCAGGGGCAGTGCCGTATTTGCCTTTAGAATGGCCACATTTGCCTCCGAGACACACGTCTCCCAGGCGCCCTGCTTTTCGGCATTGAGAGCCAAGGTGGCCGCATCCCGTGCAGCTTCTAATTCCTTGTAATCATCCGTCGACTTTTTGCCGGCCCGCTCGAGATCCTGTAAGGCCTCCTGCCAATGCGCGGAGCGTGCGTTTAAGCGGGATCGCTGTAGAAGGGCACCCTCGAAGTTCGGCTTGAGTTCTAGGACACGATCAAAGTCACTTGAGGCTTGTGAGTTTTTGCCGATGGAAAGATAAGCTGCGCCACGCTGGAATATAGTGATATAGTTGGTTGGGTCGCGGGAGACGGCGGCGTCGAAGTATACCACGGCATCTCGGGGTGAGCCCTGCGCGAGGTGTGCTTTGGCGGAAGAGATCAATTCAGAGATGGGTGTATCTGAGGGGATTTGAAGGGCGTATCCAGCCGAGACACAAGCCAGAAAGGCCGTGAGTGATTCCAAGGAAACGAGCATATCGGGGGGGAGTATGGCAAGTAACGCAGTAATGGAGGTGTAAACGAGGGTTTTGGTTGCAGAATCAGTCTCCCTAGGAGCACAAGAATAGGGTCATAATCCAAAAAACTCAAGACGAAAATAGCAAAGTGCAAAAGCGCAAAGAACAAGGAAGTCGAAGCTGTTGGATGAGCACATACATACTCCGTGGCCTTTACGCCTCGTATCGTTCCGTTACCGTCATGTGACATGAAATTGTCTCCAATCGCTTTCGCTCCGAATTTCGAATTTCGATTACTCTCTGACTCAAAGTATGCTTGTCAAGTCAATATGTCGAAGTATCTTGCGGCCTAGCCTTGGTCTGAAATTGTCACCTTTGCGAGGATTACATACCGGTAAGAACTGGGTTGGTTACTTTCTGGTCAATATATGCTAATTGTGAGGAAGCATCCGATTCTGCCTTGTCTCCAGCTCTTTTAACCAGAGCCCGCCTACTTGCAGCTGAACATACAAAGCTTGCGGAACGATTGGGAGAGTCATTTGACGCAAAAACTGCCAAGCGAGCCGGCGAACTGGCACCGGTTGCAAATATCTTGAAAGAATGGGTCAATGCCAACGATGTATGCGCCCTGACCTTTTGTGTTGGAGTTCTACTAATTACGCTAGTCTATCGTCGAACTTAACTCCCTATTGACCGATCCCAACACCGATGCTGAACTACGGTCTTTGGCAACAGAAGACCTCGAGAGCAGTCGTGATGCCTTGCCTTCGATATCAGACCGGCTGAAGAAGGCTCTCATTCCGCGACATCCATTTGCAGACCTTCCCTGCTTACTCGAAATCCGACCAGGTGCAGGCGGAGATGAAGCAGGCTTGTTCGCTTTTGAGATGTTACGGATGTACGTTGCTTTTTGCTCCCGAAGGGGCCTCCGTCCAACGATTTTGAAGCAGGACACAGAGGTCGGCCCGTCCGAAGACCGTCTCAGTGAAGCGGTAATTGAAATTGAAGCCAATGGTGCATACGATATATTACGGACTGAATCGGGGGTACACAGGGTGCAGAGAGTACCCGCAACCGAAACTAAGGGTCGCACCCATACCAGCGCCGTCAGCGTAATGGTCTTGCCGAGTTTCCCAGAGGACACCAGCGAGATGGATAATGCCTTGAACTTTGAAGATCCAAGTAGCGATTACTACATTGACCCACAAGAGGTGCGGGTTGAAAAGATGAGGGCTGGAGGTGCTGGTGGGCAACACGTCAACAAAACCGAGTCCGCCATTCGCCTGACCCATATCCCCACGAATACGGTTGTCTCCATGCAAGACGAACGGTCTCAGCAGGCTAATCGGAGGAAAGCGTGGCAGGTGCTACGGGCAAAGCTGGCCGAAGCCCGACAAGAAGCCCGCGAGCAAGAGCTTATGCAGCTCAGACGAGGTATACTTGGTGGTGTGGCCAAAATGGGTCGAGGTGATAAGATTCGAACCTACAATTTTGGTCAAAGTCGTTGTACTGACCATCGCACGGGGATCACGATCCACAATCTGGATGGTATTCTTGATGGCGGTGATGGTCTGGAGACTGTGATGGACAGTGTGCGGACCTGGATGGCTGATAGCGAAGTTGAGGCTATGGTGGCCGAGGATATGGCAAACGCGAAGAGTAAATAGCAGAGTCATTCTTCTTCTCTTCTTCTTTTTTTTTTTCATGTACAAAAGATACCATGTATACTATTAAGCCCGAGTCTATTGATGTTCTACAAATACTTTCTCTCCGGATCCAACATGTCCAGCCCATCCATAGCTTTCTCATACCTGTCCAATAGTTAGCAACTTTCATAGTATGACTTGGGTCGGTCACAAACATGGTGAACACAATTCCTCCACTCATGATCAATCTCGCAAGTCGTGGCATGGCGCCAGACCACAAAGTGAAGACACCTTCATCCTTGATGATTCTTGTTGCGCAAACAATGCTGTTCTTGTAATGCTTGCTAGCCTCAAGTGATTGCATTCTGATATCGTTAGCATTTTGTCTACCCATTAGCCCGTGGGGGTATTAACCTTGTCTTGACCGTGTCCAATGGTTGGGTCACGTAACTAATTCATGTTAGTTCGGATTTGTCTTTCCATCTTCTTTAGAGACCAAGTCTTACACGGTGATGAGCCCTGCGAGTCCACCAATTCCAAAGGTGGCTGCAGTGCCCAGCTTTTCGCCTGGCGCCGTATAGCCCTCTGCAAACTGCTTCAATGTTGTGTAGGCTGTGAATCGGGTGGCCGAGTTGGCGGCCTGTCTTGCTGTAGTGGGCACAAATCCTTGGAAGAAGCCCCTGACACCTCTTTCCTGGAAAATGATCTTGCTACCGTGCAAGAAACCACGCATCCGAGGGTTGGCAGACTTTCGGTCGTCGATCCTACAGTTTGGTCAGTTTAGAGTCAGCCAGGTATAGGACGGGAAACTTACAATTGAGTCTTGATGCTTTCAAAGGGGGTGACGGCGAAAAGGGACTCGGTGAATCCAGCACCAAATCCAGCAACAACCGTCCTTGGTCCTGAGATCTTGCCGTTCTCATCCTGAAGAACCGATTTTATGGCATCGAAAGCGACGAACCCTAGTATGTATTAGCGGCGCTCGGTATGCAATTGTGACAAGTAGACGCACGAATTCCAGCCTTGAGTGAGTTTCCAATAATCAGTGTCGTACATCCTGCATACCACTGGCTTCCAAATGGTGGCCATGGTAGCTTTTGTCCGGGGGTAAGCTGGCGATTGAGTTGTGTCCGGGTTTTCGCAACTGCATAGAATTAGCAATTATTGTTGTAGGGCATCCGACAGATCATACATTCGGCCGGGTATGTGATCGCTGTGGTATATATGATTAGCTAGCGGCCTGGTAGGGGAGTCATTGAGCTCTTTACCGATCTCCACGGCTCCGGCGGTGGACCCCGCAATGATGGAGCGAAGGGCGCTGGGCTATTTGTTGGTGAGCTTCAAGCTGGATCAATTATTGAGAGCAAAGAACAAACCTTAGCCTTTTGATCCTTATTCACCGTCGCCATTGTTTGGTTGGAGGAATTGCAGTCGAACCTCGGAGATCTAGCGATATACGGTCTTCGGTACGTGCCATTACCGCAATTGTTAGATTAGCCCTTTTACGCTCACTCATTTATATACATACATATATCGTATATCGTATATCGTATATCGTATATCGTATATTGTATATTGTATATATATATATATATTGTACGAAACAACAACTGTGGGGAATCAAGAAGAGAAACCTCCTGCATCCAATCTATGAACGGAAGGCCTCTTATAGAAGGCCAAAGCACTATCACAAGGCATCATGGGATTTCACAAGGCATCTATGGGATGGCCTCAACATATATATATATATATATATAAAGACTACCAGGTTAAAAAAAGCCCTATGTATTACAGAACGAATTGGAGGGATATTGTCAATTCACTAGCTGAATCTACCTAGATCCGTTAAGCAACTAGTGCTCCTCCTTTTTTTTTCCTTTTTTTATTTGTTTTTTTTTTCTGAGTGGGAGAGTGGTGTTCACCGTGTCTCTAACAACGGCAATCACACAAAGTGAATGTAGGCAGAAATGGGGTTAAGCATGGTAGAGTGGTGGGAGGACTCCAGGCTGCCAACAAAAGGTTGGTAAAGGGTGAGATCATCACTCGTTGCGTAGGGAAAATAAAAACAGAAGTCCCCCCTGGGACACATTCGCATGAGACGCTTATCCTGTGGAACGCCATTTGCCTTGCAAATCCCCGAAACACAGAATACAGCCTCGGAAAAACGAAGAGCGTAGGCGCCGAAGATGCATTTCCCTCAAGGATCCAACTCATTAGGATAAGGGACCGGAACGGAAAAGACATATGATACATTGCACTCCCGTATCATTATGACCGGATAATCAATGCCGGGATAGCCGGACAGGATCTTGAAGATAGAGCGGAATAGAATAAGAGAATCGAGGAAACCAAAGCGTAGCGATATGAAAGAAAAGGGTGATTCGGGCGTGGCTGGGCCTAAGAGATGGGCGCCTGGGGTTGACCTGGATTCGGTTGACCAAATGTAATCCGGTTGGCGTCATTTTGCGCCCCACGACGTTGGCCTTGTCCACGGCCACGGTAAGAGCCGCGTCCCCGATTATTGTAGTATTGGCCATGTTGCCCACCATGCTGTTGACCCTGCTGCTGGCCATGCTGTTGACCGTGTTGTTGAATTTGCGGTTGGCCATTGTGGTTGTTCCGACGAGGTTGACGGTCTCCATTCATGTTCACGGATCCAGCTCCAGTCTGGGGTGGAGGGTTGGAGATGGGCCGAGGGATGTTCTCGGGAGAATCATAGACATAAAGCTTCTTGTCAATATTCTGAGGAATGGGCTGGATTTCAGTGCCCAGTTCTTGCTCAATCTTGTACAGATTGAACCGATCCTCCCAGTTGATGAGGTTAATGGCGAGACCCAAGTGACCGAAACGACCCGAACGACCGATACGGTGAAGATAGGTCTCTGCGTTCTTCGGGAAATCAAAGTTGATCACAACGTTGACTGCTTGAATATCGATACCACGAGTCAGCAGGTCAGAGCAAACCAAATTGCGGCATACGCCATTGCGGAAGTCATGGAAGACTCGATTACGGTGCTGCTGAAGCATCCGAGCATGAGAGTAAAAGCACGAATAGCCGAGTTCGGTGATCTTTTTGGCCAGAAGCTCAACCCGGTTGGTTGAGTTGCAGAAAATGATCGACTGATTGATCTGAAGCTTGGAGAAAAGAGTGTTCAAGCAATGGACCTTTTGCTTCTCCTCAACGAAAGCATAGTACTGGGTGATACCGCGGAGGGTAAGTTCGTCCATAAGGTTGATCTCGTACGGGTTGCGCATGTGCTTATCCTTGAATGACTTGACAATCAAAGGGAAAGTGGCGCTGAAGAGCATGACCTGGCGATCCTTGGGGTGGAAGGACATAAGCTGCTCAATGACAGGAGTGAACTCGGGAGACAGCAATTTATCTGCCTCGTCCATCACGAACGTTGGGCATTCGGACAAGTCGGCCACACCTTTGCTAGCCAAATCCAGTACTCGTCCGGGCGTTCCCACCAGAATATGAACGGGGTCATTCAACCGGATAATGTCATCCATCAAACCAGTTCCACCGGTGGTGACCATGACATTGATACCCAGGTGTTTGCCTAGGGTCTTGCAGACCTGTGATGTCTGCAGTGCGAGCTCTCGTGTGGGGACCAGGATCAAGGCTTGGGTCTTTGTACTTTTGGGGTTGATGCGCTCGAGGGTGGGAATAACAAAGGCAGCGGTTTTTCCGGTACCGTTCTTAGCTCGGGCCAAGATATCTCTGCCTGTGAGGGCAACTGGTATCGTTTCTTCTTGGATAGGGGAGGGCTTTTCAAATCCAGCCTCAAAAATGCCCATCATAAGTTCACGTTTGATGTAGAAGTCCTCGAATTCGAGGCCTTTTGTGGCAGTGACATCCTATTCAGAGTTAATATTTCGTCATTGGCTGACACTAATGAAATACTCACCTCAGTTTGTGGGCGAGCATCTTTAGGGGGGGAGGTTCAATGTGTCCTGCAGTCTTTGCTCTGAGGTTGCTTCCCTGGTCAAGTCAGATTGATTTTTTTTTTTGCAGAAGCCCCAAAAAACACGCAATTGACTTACAGCTTAGTATTGCCGAGTTGTGCAGCAAGCGCGTCGGCCATTGTGACGATAAAGTGCTAAGGAGATGGGAAGCAAGTGACGTGACCGATTTTGTTTGCGATCAAGGTTATATGTGAAAGGGTGTGTGCGGAAGCTAGAAGAGGAATATTTTGGAAGAGGTTTCGAGGTGACGGCGATATGAGGAGAGGAGAGAGATGTTCACCGAAACCAATAAAGTCAGGTTGTAAGGGGACGGGGAGATTGGGTATTCAATGAAATGAAGCTTCTGTGTGGAACCAAGAAAGATCTCTGATACCAAAGCTGGGAGAGTTCACAGATAGGATAAAGAATGGTAGAAACCAGGTTTGTTGACAAGAGGAGGGAGAAAGAGGAAAAAAGAAAGGGTAGAGGTTGAGATTGTGATGGCGGGGAGCGAAGAGGTTTGAGGTAAAGAGTGAAGCCAAAACGTTCCACTGGTCACGGTCACGTGCCACTCCACTACTATTTACTATACGAATGAGAATACATTACAAGATATATAAGGATATAAGAATAAATTTCAAATAATCAAATAAACATGGCATTTCTTTAAAGGGTATTTCGCTGCAAATAAGATTAACCAACGGAGTTTCAGTGTCGGAAGCTTAGTGTCGTTTGGCCACGCTCTGGCTCTGCCAATTCCTTCACTCTGACATCTGCAGAAATGGTGATATCGGTCTTGCTACCAGGCGTGATCAGAATGAACTGTCGTCCGATAGATCTTCTAGCAGCAACCATCTAGAACAGTCAGCGAATATCCCAGAGGAAGGAGAAGTGCCACTTACAAGCATGTCAATCGCCATCTTTCGGTTGATATGATCCATATACACATCACTTTTTCAAAGTCAGCATTGTAACAAGTCAAAATGTTAAGAAAACTTACAATTCATCAAGACAACGGATTGGAGATCCCATAGCTTCCCAGAGAGACAACAACAGACAAACTTGCGAGAATGACTTTTCTCCACCGGACAGTGTCTTTGCACCTCTTCCAGTGCTATCATCTTTGGTAATATCCGGTTCAACCTAGACAGTAGTCAGCATTGATCGGTCCATTTCCCCGAGGTTCTGGTGAACAGTCTTACTTGTAAATCCAGAAGTTTGTTGGTATGGTCAGCCAGTAGCCGACCACGGAAACTTCTCTCACTCAAGAGGTAGGTGAATTGAGCTTTGGCTTGAGATGAGATATGGGATCTGAAGATTTCCCATCTCTTCTTACGGTTCTGGAGCGTATCTTTCAGGGCCTAAACAAAGGTTAGACCAGGCGAAACAAACGAAATAAACCAGCATATGTATAAAAAGAAGGGGTAATTACCTGACTCAGGGCCGAAAATTGTTCAAGTTGCTGCAAGGCTCGATCATAGGTTGCTGCAGTCCTTGTTGCCTCAGCAGCAATTTCCTCTCGAGAACTTCCCAACCTGTTGACTTGTCAGTTTTTGTGGCAAAAGGTAAGCTGCAAAGAGACATACTCCAAGTTGTAACGATCTAGATCACGGCTTAATTTATCAAGCTTCTTGTCGAGGCTGCCGGGTGTTTCTCCTTCGTCCACAGGAACTCGAGAAGAGACCAAGTTGGCCTTTTCATCGTATTCAATAACCCGTGCTTTCACCACTTCTTTTCTCGCCTCGATTGCAGCCTTGGTCTCTTTATCTTGGCCAATAAGTCGAACAGCCTCGTTCTTCTCGTCGAGGATTTTGGCTTGTTTCGTTTTCACAAGATTTAGCTCGCTTTCGGCAACTTGTAGTTTTTCCCGGAGGGTTCCGAGTTCAGAGTCTTTGGCGGATAGCTCCCGCCGAATTTCCTTGAGAGTCTGCAGCGTGGCTTTCATGGCTGCCTCGCTATCCTTGTATGATCCCTCATTGAGCTGCTTCTCATCTTCAGCTTCCTTCAATGCTGCCAGAAGGGCATCAATGCGGCCATCCTCGGCGTTCTCTTTGTCCAAGGCGTCTCTGAGTCCCTCGGCATGATCTTCCATTCGTTGCATTTGGATTTGCAGATCTTTCTCGGTTCTTACGTGTCGAGCTGATGCCTGTTTACAGGCCTCAACGCGTGACCGGGCAGTTACCAATGACTGTTCGATGTCCTTCTGTTGGCGTAGGAGGTCGGCAATAATGTCACGTTGTGCGCTAGAGCCATCAGCCAATGTCACGGGTCCCAATGAAGAGGGCGTACTTACTTGATTTGCAAGGCCACATCGGATTTCATGCGCGGGCCATCGGTCCACCCCATAACAGGAGCCTGACTCGGTTCTCCGGCTCGACTGTACGAAAGATGGAGTCCACGACGTCGATCTTTTGGATCAATAGAGTAGCAACGCTTAACGTTTATTGGTCTTGCACCGTCGAATAGTACAGCGGAGGCTTCGTTTACATCCTCGATCAACAGCATTTGCTCAATCCCATGATTGATGATCAGTTGTCGCCGCACTAATTCGTTGTCGATCTGAAAGGTCAGCGCATTTCATAAACCGTGGAAGGGATGAAGGTGGCTACCTGAAGTGTTCGTAACACAGTCTTGTATTGGGGGTCTGGTTCGTGTGCCGTGGTATCCAAATGGCCACCAGAGCCAATGAAGATTGGACAGTTGCTGTCGGGTCAGGTCAGCTTCAGTTCCAAACATGTACCTCCGGTCAAACTCACCACTGAACCCGCCGCATGATATCGAAGAGAAGTTTCATATCATTTTTGGACGAAACAATGAAGCTAGCAAGCGTGCCACCAAACACTCTTTCCAAAATAGACGACCACTTTGGTTCAAGCAGAGTGACATGGTGACCAATTGGGCCGACAGGGCGTGACTCCCATGATTGTTCTTGTTGAATGGCTTTGAGGAGTGCAGGCATTTTGGCATGGAAGCCGGATTGTCTCGATCCGCCTTCTCTAGTGAGATTCCGAAGTTGGTTCTCCGCTTGACCAATCTCGCGCTTTTTCTGTTCAAGCGGACCTTTTGCTTCTGTGAAATCTCTCTCGGCAGCTTCAGCATCTTCCCGTAGGCGAGCGGCACCTTGACGATGCTCTTCGTATTCCTTTTTGGCAGCAGAAGCGTCATTGGCGGCCTGTTCACACTCGGCTTGTTTTCGAGCGTAGCCACCGTCGCTCGCGTCAGCGAGGCGTTGATTCTCAGCGTCCACTTTTTGCTGGGTATCCTGAATTCTCGACTCGGCGGCTTTGAGGTATTCCCTAATCTGGCGTTGTTCTGCCTATACAAAACAGTCAGGGAAGGTATACCATGGTGAGTGGAAGGACGTACCTGTAGGTCATGCCGGCCGGCCATCTCAGCGTCCAATTTTTCCTTTATTTTATCTCTTTCATCCTGGGCCTCATTCACTGCCACGGCAGCTCGCCAGGAATGCTCACCCGCGGCTGTTTCCTCTCCGCGGCGACTCCATCAAAGGCAGCATCAAACCGAGTGAGGCGAGACTCGGCCTCAGCAATTTTCCGATCTGCCTCGGCGATTTGTTCGGTGAGTGAGATTTCCATCTGTCTTGTCAGTCAATTATCAAAGATGCGGTAAGGTGGGACTAACTCTTTCTTGCTCTTCAACTTGAGCCCAAGCCATTTGGCCTCGGATATTTCTGATCCGTCTTCGCAGAGAATCGTGCTGGTCAGAAATCTCGAGCTTTTTCTTGGCCAATTCCTTGCGATTTTGGAGGACCTGTACATCTTGGGTCGATGTTCGGAGCTTTTCCTCAATTGAGTCAAGGGATTCCTCCACTAGCCGGTAGTCGTTATCAAGCTGTTCCAACTGGACGCCTTTGACAAAGAATTTGTATTTCTCAGCTGGGCTTGATGTACTCAAGAACTGACGGGCCATATCTTGAGAAAGTACGTTCATAGGGTTTTCGATCTGTAGCGAAAAGTAGTCCGTGATAGCATCTAGGTCGCCCTTTTTAGTCGAGACGATGCGTCCATTCTCTGACTTGATCTTGAACCCGCTGGTGCCACTCCGGGAGAAATGACGCTCGACAATAATGGTTTTCCCAAAATCGTCTGACAAATAGGCACCGTCGCCTTGATTCTTGATGCGAACGATGATTGTGCTATTCTCCTTGCCCTCCTTGATAAAACTTTTAAGGCTTTGGCCACGATTTGTCGCAGAGGCTTTGCCACCTAGACAAAGGGTGATCGCTGTCAGGATCGCACTCTTGCCGCTGCCGTTCTTTCCAACGATAAAGTTGATCAGAGGACCCAGCTCAACGTAAAAGTGATCATGACACATGAAATTGTAGCACTCAACACGTTCGAGAATTCCATGTTCGGCGGGTACGTTGGCCTCGTCTATTAGATGCGAGTATTTTTCTTGTATGATCTGGGTCTGGCGGAGCTCTAACTCGTCCTCGTCGTCGAGTAGCGCATCGTCGTTGACGGCTAGAAGTGAATCGGCGACGTTGGTAACAGCGCTGGAAGAGGATGGATATTCCGAGTCCGTTGAGCTCTCTGAATTTGTCCTCTGTCGTTTCCTCTGTGACTGTTAGCTCAGCTTAAACTCATATTTGCTGGAATCGTACTGAAGAACTCATGACTGGCTGGTCGGACCCATCGCTTCCCTCGTCGGAGTCCGTAGGCGTCTGCATGCGCTTGCGGGATGGCATTTGGAAAAATAGTTATCAACCAAAGCCAGCGGCTAGCATCGCGAGCAGGCTCGTCAATCTTAGCTGATTGTCGCGGGTTTCGGCCACAAAAGACCCCCACGAACTGATAGTTCCGAGGTCGCGTCGCGTCCGCGTCAGATAGACTTAGTAATCAAATGGGCAAGCCCTGGAGTGGCCTGGAGCCCTTAAGACACTTAGGCACCTGAGTACTCTCGAGTGAAAATGTAGCCTTCAGCGTGGTTTTTTTTTTTGGGTTTTGGTGTTGAATTAGTGAGAAAGAATAAACTGACAGAGAATTCTAGAATTGAAATGATTTTGCTTTATGATGGAAATCGAGGGTGACAACGACATCAACTGTTTCTTTGTTCAGTGACCACATAGAGAATCCGACGCCAAAACTATAGACGAGTACAAATAGGCGGTACCTATTGCCTCGAACGATTTTTACATGTTCCGATAAGACGTAGATGGGTATCTTAGTTTGATTAATAGCTGATCGCTTGATCTACCGCCAGATTACACCTTCAACTAGAGGTACGCGAGTTGATTGCGCACCTTCTCTAGGGTATCAAAATTAGCCTGTAGAGTAGTGGCAAGGACACTTGGGGTCTTGATGTTGCTGTCGTTTGCCCATTCATCACACGAGTGACAAAGCTGCTGATGCGCAGCTGCAAATGCACTCTGCAACTCAGAAGTCCGAGTACACGACCGGCCTAGATCATTCATGTAATGAGTAGGGTCTTGTATGCATAATCGTTGCGCAACAAGAAAATTTCGCTTCGCCGCAGCGGTCCGCTTGGCGCTGATCAGAGAACGCTGGCCGCGCTGATGGGCAGGTTCATCAGCGTTGGAAGCTACAGGTAACATGTCTGCGCTGAAAAGTCCGGGAGGATCCACGGCGACGCCGACAGACTGGAGGTCAACTTGAGTGCCATAGAACTGCAGAAGAGCAAGGAACTGTTCGCCCAAGTTATTAGGCCCGGGAAACCGGCCATGGTTCATCTTCAAAAATGCCACGATGAGCATGGCTAGCGCATCAGGTCCAATGCTCGCCTGCGGTGAGCCAAAAAGACCACGTGCCTCTAGCAATGTGCGTGTTACTGCGTACAGAGGTCGTAGGGCAGGATATTCGGCCTGATAATCTTGCAGATACTCCGTGATGGCAGGGATACCCTCGCCACAATAGAATTGTAGCAACAGTCCAGTCGGCCGGTGGCGAGCGGATAGTGAAGGGTTTCGCTTGTCAGATAGTTTGACATGGTCGCTGAATGTATCGGTGTGCTGTAGAGCTCTTTGGACTTGACGCAGAAGGCGGATGTGGGCATCTTGGATCTGAGGCCGCGTGGGGCTTGGTCTTCGATCACGTTCTAGTGATCTAGGAAGGTCTTCATATGGTAGTATAAAGTCAAGATCCGAGTGTGCCAGTACAAGGCCCGTGCAATGCGATCCAATGACTCTTGGAGCATGTGGGACCACTGTTTTGAGAAGTGAGGCTACTTCCATCCTAAGCTTCTCTATGCGGGCTTGTTCCTGAGCTCTTGGGGTCAGGTATTGATCCAATGCTCGAATTTCTGCATCCAGAGTGATGTCGGCATTGGCGCGAGGCAGCTCCAAATTTCTCAGCCATGGACTCTGTGCCGGACGACCTGTTCCTGCAGGTTGAATCGCATCTTCTCCATATTGATTATTGAGTGATTGGTGAGATGATATATCCACATGACTTTTGCGTTTTTTCTGGCGTTTTCTAGATACCGGATCAGGAGTATCAGGGGAATATTCCGAGTTCGGTAGGACTGGTTCCGCAGGTGGTTGGTAACCGGCGCGATTCTCAGGTGGGATATCAGGCCGCCAGAGTCCCGGGGGATCTTCAATGGGGTAAATTTTGCGGATCAAACGAGTCCGATTTGTGGACCGATGGGCCTCTAGGGTCTTTCGGAGGCTGTTGGCAAAGACATCGGGAGTCTTGGCTGCCGCAACGGAGCTATGGAATGGGCGAAAGAGGTGAGAGGGACGGATGCGTAAAGGTAGGCTCGAAAGCTGCATAACAGTATTAGGGCATTTAAAGAGAGCAAAAGAGGACACCGGAGTGGATGTCACCATGCCGAGGATGCATGCAGCTTTCCAAGATTATTTCGCTCAACTTTATTCAAGATTGTATGCCTCAGGCAGATACAGCCATGTGACTCAATTGTATTTGCCGTTTTAACCAGTTCGGTCCAAATGTTTAATATCTACATCGATGTATACATATGTGTAGAATGATGTTCTACCTCTACCTGAGTACATTCAGACTCCAAATAATTTAATATAGATCAAAGAATACATAGAAGTACTTAAACAACTTACAATATACAATATAGAAAAGGAAAAAGAAATGCATACATGACGTAGCACTGAGGAAATATCCACAAATTCCCCTCCATACTCTTTCTATCTTCTTAAACCAGTTTCTATATTAATATTACCTATTTGAATTTGTGTCGAAAAAGATCTTTAAGGTGGTCTAATCGGCTTCCAGGTCATTCCCTTCGATAACTCTCGATAAGACTTCACTTCACCGCTTGCCCCTCCATCCTTACTATTTCCTGTTCCTCCTTTTCTTTACATATAGTCTATCTGTTTTCGATTTGATTATCTTTCTTACACAGTCCATGGCTTTCTTGCGATAGTCCATTTCCCCCGGACCTTGCTTATCGACTCAGTCCTAAACCCCCCGAGGTATGTACTCTTGTTCATCTTCCCCCCCCATTTCCCCAACCCACCGACGTCAAGGTTTCCCCCGGACCTTGGTGCATGTGACAATTGCAGCCTAACTATTGCAGGCTAATTGCAACACGTCGGATCTCATCCTCAATCTTCCCCATCATATAAGCGCTGCTCGGCTGCTCGTCATGTCCGAACCAGAGAGCCCCGCGCAGGTTCCCGATGACCAGCCAAACCCTGTCCTCGTTGGGCCTGGATTACGGGCCCTCAAGAATGAAGCATACACCCAAGCGACCAATTCGACACCTAGTCTGGAGAAGATGTCAAGCGAGGCCCCTTCCTACTTTGACAGTCTCCCCCGGGCCAAGGCCGTAACCACCGACCCGTCTGAGACCAAGTCCCAGCCGGTGCAGACTGCAGGGAGAGCCTCATCCGGCATGGATCTGTTGCGCCGCTTAAGCTTGACCTCGGACTCTCCCATGTCCCCTGAGACCGATCCACGCGTACAACACCCAGGACTTCGTTTGAGTGGCCGCCTCATCAGCGCCGCTTTCTGTATACCATACAAGCTCAACTTTCAATCGGGATCAGACTGGGTATGTACATAGTTCTATTTATTCTAGGAGATCGTGTTGGCTGACCGGATAACAGACGCTCAAGTCGCGCTCTGGTACTTCAGCGCTGTTCGATTCATTTGCACATCTCGCCTCGGATGAGACTTCTTGGTCACACACGTTGGTAGGCTGGACCGGGGAGGTCGAGCCTGCTGTGGACTTGAAATCACCCTTGCAGCAAATACATCCCAATTCTGCAGTCAAGGCACCCCTAACTCCCAGTAACCTTGTTGCTAACCAACAATTGAACAAGGCTGCTGCGCCTGTTCCCGTGGATGGAACCAAGAAGCCACCCGCACATCCATTGGTAGAGGGAATTAGTGTCACCCAACAGGACCGAGAACGACTCGATGAACAATTGAGCTCAGGTCGTCATGGTCGGGTATTGCCTGTGTGGTTGTCGGACGCATCAGAAGAACCAGAAGAGACTATTCTGCTGAAGGATCAAGGGAGATGGCGCCGTTACGCCGAACGTGAGCTATACCCTCTACTACACTATAAACAACATGGCCCGACAGATGGCCGGTCTGAGCGACGGTGGTGGGCCGACTATGTGCGCCTGAACCAGTTGTTTGCGGATCGCATCGTGGAGGAATATCAAGAAGGAGACGTGGTCTGGGTTCATGATTATCATTTGTTCCTTCTGCCCAGTCTGCTGCGGCAACGTATCCCGAATATCTACGTGGGATTCTTCTTACACTCGCCCTTTCCCAGCAGCGAATTTGTCCGGTGTCTTGCGAAGCGCAAGGAGATCCTAGAGGGAGTCCTGGGTGCCAACATGATTGGATTCCAAACATTTTCCTATTCTCGACACTTTACCTCGTGCTGCACACGGGTTTTGGGCTTTGAGTCTAACTCTGCTGGGGTTGATGCCTACGGGGCCCATGTTGCAGTGGATGTCTTCCCTATTGGCATCGACGCACGTTCGATTCAAAAAGCCGCCTTTGGGGCTCCCGATATTGAGAAGACCGTGTTGGGTATTCGCAAGCTCTATGCTGGAAAGAAAATCATCGTCGGCCGCGATCGGCTGGACAGTGTTCGCGGCGTCGCGCAGAAGCTGCAGGCATTCGAAATTTTCCTGGAGCGCTACCCGGAATGGCGTGACAAAGTTGTCCTCATCCAGGTGACGAGTCCAACTAGCGTGGAAGAAGAGAAGGAAGACCCAGACAACAAGATCGCTGGCCAAATATCCAACTTGGTTTCGACCATCAATGGAAGATTTGGCTCCTTGAGTTTCTCGCCCGTCCAGTACTATCCGCAATATTTGTCCCCGCGCGAGTACTTCGCTCTGTTGCGTGTAGCCGATGTCGGACTAATCACTACGGTGCGAGATGGCATGAACACAACGAGTCTGGAATATATTGTCTGTCAGCAGACCAACCACAGCCCTTTGATTCTTTCTGAATTCTCCGGTACTGCGGGCACCCTGCCCAGTGCCATCCACATCAACCCGTGGGATATGGTTGGAGTGGCTGGAGCGATCAATCAAGCATTGAATATGCCAGATGAGCAGCGAAAAGAGCAACACCTCAAGCTATACAAGCATGTGGTGACCAACACAGTTTCTATGTGGTCCAGGCAGTACCTCAATCGCCTACTGACCAACCTTTCATCCTTTGACCAATCGGTCGCTACGCCTGCACTCGATCGCGCAAAACTAATGAAGCAGTACCGCAAGGCTCGCCGACGGCTGTTCATGTTTGACTACGATGGCACATTGACGCCAATTGTCAAGGATCCCCAGGCTGCCATTCCTTCAGATCGGGTACTCCGTACTCTGAAGAGCCTATCAGCCGACCCACGAAATGCCGTGTGGATCATCAGTGGACGGGATCAGGCTTTCCTGGACGAGTGGATGGGCCATATCCCAGAACTTGGGCTGAGTGCCGAGCACGGTTGTTTTATCCGAAAGCCCGGATCTGAGGATTGGGAGAACCTGGCCGAGAGAAGCAATATGGGATGGCAGAAGGAAGTAGTTGAAGTTTTCCAACATTACACGGAGCGAACCCAGGGTTCATTCATTGAACGGAAACGGGTAGCATTAACCTGGCACTATCGTCGCGCAGACCCAGAGTACGGTGCGTTCCAGGCTCGCGAGTGTCGAAAGACTTTGGAGGACACTGTCGCCAAACGGTGGGATGTGGAAGTCATGGCAGGCAAAGCCAATCTAGAGGTCCGACCAACATTTGTGAACAAGGGGTTTATCGCCACGCGGTTGGTCGACGAATATGGCACGGCCCCAGGGAAGGCACCGGAGTTCATCCTATGCTTGGGTGACGACTTCACCGATGAAGGTAAAGAGTGATCACCCTCATTCATGCTGGAACTGTGAATTAACGCACAATTTAGATATGTTCCGAGCCCTCAAGAAGTTTGATCTACCACGCGACCACGTTTACTCAGTGACAGTGGGTGCCAGCTCGAAGCAAACTGATGCCAGCTGGCACTTATTGGAACCGGCCGACGTTATTGGATCAATTCAGATGCTTTTTAGCAGCGCCAACCAAGATCACTGAGACTTAAACAACACCTGGGACCAACAAACCCATGATTACCCGCCACAGCCAAGTATAGGAATTCGAGCTTGGCATCTGTTTCAGATTTGGCGTGTCAGAATTTATCACCACATGGTCTTGGAGGTTGTTTGGTCTATTACTAGAGGGGCCATTCGTCTCATATTAAGACATCCCGCACTGTTTCAAGGGTTTTTATACAAGCATTACCCTCCATTGTTTTAGCTTGTTTGACTCCGGTTTATGCTCTCTTTTACCCGATAAGACAGGTCCTTTGCCATCCGAGGTTTTGTATAGACTCACGTGTATGTACATGTTAGAAAGTTATTGAATTTTCCCCCGTTACAATCGTACAAGATCGACATTCTTATGTACATATGTACTTAGGTACATGTACTGTGGCTATCCGAGACCGCCGTTTTTTGCGGGGACCCCGGGATTGCGCCATCTCAAGTGTGGGGTTTGATATAAGATATATACTATGTAGTACATATATATATACGTAGGTAGGTATTAGAGGTTATACAGCCTAGAAAACGAGTCAACGAGAGAATAAAGAAAGATGGGAAATTGGATATATTGCAGCCCTATAGACCCTATACATACTCTATACCCTATCTAGGTACACTCTATGGTACCTTTGTAGTTATACTCTACTAAAAGACCAAGACATATAAAACCATGAGACTAATGAAATCATCAAATCACAGACATGCAAAATATAATATACAAGACAACCATAGACACATAAAAAGAAGACATGCTCACTCGGAAGTGGACCCATCTGTCATCGGAAGGCGGCCATCTCTGCGAATAGGCGAGAAGACGCTCGGAAGGATCTCCGTAATGAATTTTTTTTTCCCATTTAGTTTGACTCATTCGAAAAGAGTATTATTTTGTTTGTTTGTTGGAGCTCTGCACTTGGACGCATCAAAAAAGAGGCAGATGAACTCATGTCAACTTCTAATATGGCCTCCAATATCTCCAAACCATCAAGTATAATTGAAGAACATGGCCAAGAGCAACCCGAAAAGAACGAGAGTATAGATCAAAGCCATACTCGCCATTCCTCAGACGAAGAGTCAGCCATTGGCCATCAACCCAACCTTTCTCACATACCCACCAACACCAGCGCTTTGAACCGTACACTATCGGCAGTGCGCACTCGGGAATCTGGCAAAGATTTCGGTCCTCCTCCGGACGGTGGATTTCAGGCTTGGTCGCAGGTCGCTCTCGCACATTTCGTCATCTTCAATACATGGGGCTATATCAATAGCTTCGGTGTCTTCCAGACATACTATTCCCAGACACTGGGACATCCACCATCAGATATCTCCTGGGTCGGGAGTATCCAGATCTTTTTGTTGTTTTTTATTGGCACTTTCTCCGGCAGGGCTACCGATGCCGGCTATTTCACATTTACTCTGGCCTGTGGTGCTATCTTGGAATGCTTCAGTATCTTCATGACCTCGCTCTGCACAAAGTACTGGCAGCTATTCCTAGCACAGGGTATTGGCCAAGGAATTGGGTGTGGACTCATGTTCTGCCCAACTTTGGCTTTGGTCTCGACTTATTTCGCCAAGAACCGTGGCATCGCTATTGGGATCGTTGCGTCGGGTTCCGCGACGGGGGGTCTGGTTTTCCCTGCTGTTATCATGAAGATGTTGCCCCAAGTCGGATATGGGTGGACAATGCGCACGCTAGGCTTTATCTCGGTAGCCACGCTGACTCCCTGTGTCCTGTTTCTCAAGCAGCGTCTTCCTCCACGCAAGACGGGTCCGATTGTTGAGTGGGCTGCCTTCACCGAGCTGCCTTACTTGCTGTTTGCAATTGGCATGTTCATGAACTTCTGGGGCCTATATGTTGGCTTTTTCTACATCGGCAGTTTCAGTCGTAACATCATCGGCGTGTCAAATGATCGATCCATTGATTTGCTTCTGGTAATGAATGGAGTCGGATTGATCGGGCGGTTGGTCCCCAACCTGCTTGCTGATCAGTTCACCGGTCCTCTCAACCTGTTGATTCCGTTCAGTTTCGCGACGGCCTTGGTTGGCTACTGCTGGGCGGCGGTTAACGGTATGTCCGGACTGTGGACATTTGCCGCATTTTATGGCCTATTTGCTGCAGGTATTCAATCGTTGTTCCCAGCCACCCTCAGCACCCTGACTACTGATATGAAGAAGATCGGTGTACGCATGGGTATGGTGCTCAGCGTAGTAGCAGTGGCGGCCCTTATAGGGTCTCCTATTGCTGGTGAGCTAGTTGTTCGTGGTGATGGCAACTACCTGTATGCGCAAATGTTCATGGGATCTGCGATCCTGACTTGGTGGATTGACATTAATTGGAGCCCGAGTGACCAAGGTGGGCACAGGTTTGACTCGAGTTTGAAAAATAGGATATTATACCTAGGTAAAATGTTATGTATTTAGTCAGGATAGATATAATGATAATGAATGTTCCTACCTATGTATATATTGGATGGATGTTGTATGGTGTATGGTGTATGTCAACAAATCAACGAGTTGTGGTTTGACGAGAAGAAAATGCCCCCACATGTGATTTAATGCCTTTGACTCGTGACTCTTGAACTTCTCATCTTTTTCCACATTTCAAGTCTTTTTGCAATACTTTGAATTCTCCAGGTAGGTTTGTGTTCATTTTTGACATTCTATGAGAAACTGCGAAGCGACACCCCACCTTTGCCCCTCCATTGTGTGCAAAACTCCCAACCCCCGCTAACTCGTTCTCGATATAGAGATATAGAGATATACATTACTTGAGCCTCGTTTCAAAGTTCCCACATATTTTCTACATATCAATATGGCGCCCCGCGGTCGTGGAGGAAAATTCTCCAAGCCCACTCGAGGAGGTGTGTCGTGTCCGCCTGCAGAGTGCGAGATACTCGAAGCTGATCATGAGTAGGAGGCAAGCACTTCAGCAGAGATCTCCAGCCATTAGACAAGGATGGTAATCAGATGGGTCTCTGGCGCGTAAGCGGACTTCCAACCCCCAATTAATTCAAGTTCCACAACAGCAATCTGACCGTGATATCTCTCATAGGAGCCTGGTGACCAAATCAAGTCATCGGGCGAGGAAGATTCTTCGTCCGAAGAAGAAAGCACCGAGGAATCCAGCGAGGACGAGTCCAAGCCCACCGAGTCATCCACAGCAGGAACCCGTGAGGAGCGCCGCGCAGCCGCCAAAGCTAAGAAGGCAGCCGCATTGAAGAAGCGAGGCCAAGGACCTGCCCAACCTGGGGATTTACCCCCTTCAGACTCGGAAGAATCTGATAACGACCTTCCCGCCAACCCCAACCATACTGCCAAGTCCCGCTCGCAAACCCTGAAGGCCGCTGAGCCCACTGCTGAGCCTAAGAAGGCCGCCAAGGTCAAGGATATCTCACAATTATCCCGACGCGAGCGTGAGGCCGTCCAGGCCCAGCAGGCTCGCGAGCGTTACCAGAAGCTGCATGCCGAGGGTAAGACCGATGAAGCGAAAGCGGATCTGGCTCGTCTCGCCGTTATCCGTGAGCAGCGTGAGGCGGAGCGCCTGCGCAAGTTGGCTGAGAAGGAGGAGAAGGATGAGCAAGCTAAGGAACGAGCTCAAGCCGCCCAGGAGCGGGAGGATCGTATGCGCGCCGCAGCTTTGGGTAAGACAGGCAAGAAAGTTGGTGGAAAGAAGAAATAAGCTTGTGGATTTCATTTTATATGTGGTCATGACTTGGGTTGAATTGTTGTAATTGTTGTTGGTTATACATCTAGACAACGAGCAAAGAAAGCAAAGAAAGCAAAGAAAGCAAAGAAAGCAAACAGTTGAGTCATTTGGAAATTAAGAACCAGACAAGTTGAATATGCCCAATACTGTAAATTGAAATCATGTACACCCAATAGCATTAGATAAACACCTCGTTTTTAGACTGGCTTTTCTGAGTATGAGCCGGTCAAAAAGAAACCAAAGTGCAAAAGAAAAAAAAGAACAAGAAAAAGGTATTTGAAGTTTCATACACGGGATTGAAATCCCAGGGAGAATACATAGCCAAGAAAAGAGGTCTATTTGCGGGAAAGCTTGCTACTTCACACGCCCCAGAACAACCCCTCGACGCTGCGACCTTGCATGACAATGCCCCAACCGGCAATCAGGCTGACTAGCCACATAACGACGAATATGAGGATGGGCACAAGTAGAAGTTCTGTGTTGTGCAAGAAGGGGAGAGCATTGTACCCCAGGAATGTGATGTAGGTGTAGTAAATGAGAGCAGAGAGGTAGAGCGAGTTTCCGAGGAAAGTAGCCAGGAAATTACTCGGGCTACGGGTGAGGAGCGGCAGAAGGAGGAACTGCACCACGTAGAGATGGAGATAGAGAGGGAAGAAGGCCCGGTTGGACACCTATATAAGGGCATTGTCAGAAAGTTGGAGATTCCACGGATTTGTGGCACGGAGTCTTACGTCAAAACAATATCCAAATTCCAACTGCTCCTTCTCCCCTGGCTGTGTAAATAGGCCCTGAGCAGCACCTCGTCTTCGGCCACGGGAGCCCCGCAGACCAGCCAGAGAGGCGGCAGCTCCGTTCGGACCGAATAGACGGCCGATGATAAAGTATCCAATTGTTGAGACAAACAGTGACGAGCCAATGAAATGTACGACAACGAAGAGGAAGGTGAGGCGCATGATTGCGCCGAAGCCCGGCGTATAAGCAAGGCCCCATGCGAATGCTGTGAGGAGGAGGAAGAATGATAGTAGGTAGGTGAATGACGGATCAGGCCGGTGCCATGTGTTCTTGGTTTCTGCTCAAAGGCGTCAATAGTGCTCGATTAGGGCGATGGTAACTGGCATTGCCATGGTTGTATGTGCTTGTCCAATCGAGGCACGGGGTCGAGGCTTGGGATAAGTAGACTCACGTTTCTAGGTCCGATGACATGGTCAGCATAGTTCGAGGGTCAGTTAGGGTAGTCAAGACCACTTACATGGTAGTATATCGATTTGAAGACCTTCTTAGGTGCGATCAACAACGAGGTCATCTCCCAAATGGCCATTTCAAAGTCCATTTGCGGAAATTTGAAGAGCCTGTCCCATATCAGTGATTGCCTCTCGCATCGAGGTTCTTTGCGGTCCTACCTCTTGAAGAAGCGCGGCATGCGGACGCTAGATCGAGTTGCGGGTGTTGAGCCGAAGTTGGCAGGGCCGGCATGTTGGCGGGGGACAGAGATGTGAGGGTTCATGATCTTAGACCCCGTTTTTCGAGAAGGGAAATCAAGTCTCGGAGCATACACAATGCAGTCCGGTTGTTGTACGTGTACTATAGCCTGTAAAGTATCCAATGCAAGTGGCCCGGTTATGTCATCTTGGTCACGTGTTTACCTAAGTATATCAGGTATGGATTTTTATATAGGGACCTATATAACATGTTTTGGTTGCTAATTGACACAGTACTCCGTATAATATATTCTCTTCTTACTCGCATTACAATTCTAGTTGTTAAATTATATATCTTCCGAACAAGCGTCATTCCAGGTGGAAAAGGTTCCCTCAAGAGACACTGCAAGGGGCAGAAGGATACACCATCAACATGCATAGTCAGAAATAAGGAGATACGGAGTATATTAATAGAGAGTCCTTTTTCTCTTAGATGTTATAATGGAATACTTATACGTGTATATAACTGTCTACAATATTGTATATGTATAATCTATCTACGTACGGAGTAGTTACACGGAAGTCAACATCCGATATACAAAGTAGCTCCCCCCACGGCTCCACTGTACTTTTGTAAACAGATTAACAGATTGTATTCGAAGGGGTTAGGTAGGAATATTGATATCTATTGTAGTGATGTACCCGTGGACGGATATCAATAGTATAATTAATATACATTTTACGAGTAAAAGTAGAACATACGTGTCTATCAACTAAATATGTATGTATTTAATGTACGGAGTACTTAAGACAATGTATAAAACCCCTGAATCTGTGGGCAAGTAATTTCCCCTGGACTGCACATGTGTTTCTATTCAGTTTTATCATTGTCTCCTTTGAACATACATATGTATTTCATATTCTTAAAATATGTCTCATATATTTTAAATATATATAAAATATTTTAAAAAAGAGTCCCACCGTTCGGACTTTAAAAAAAGTTCCCGCTAAACCGCTAAACCGCTAAACCGACTCGCTCAGGAGTTCCCCGGTTTCTTATCTCTTCACATTACTCGCCTTGTACATTCCCTTTTCTTTTGGGCTCTTCAATGTTTTCTTCTTTTAAATTGCTTTGGGCAATGACCAGGTGAATTACTCTTCAATCCGTCAAATCGGATACTGCAGGGACCATCAGTTTCTCCAGTCACTTTGTATCTGGTACGCAGCAAAACCTATATGGTATTCCCCTGGATCCAACCGCATCCTCGCGTGGGAATTGATCCTAAGAAGACAAATTGAATTAACTTCTATTAGCGCAATAATGTCCCAGCAACGGGAAGCGTACTCTCCTCCCCATACACCTCCCTCCCAAACCGCGAGATACAAGCCCTCCAAGCGTGGATACCCTGCTCGACCATCCATCCGGGATGCTTTTCCAGACGCCATGGATAACCCCACGACAACCAGTGAGTCGGGAGATGATCGAGACCCGCATGATCTGTCTCTATCCCCGCAACATGCTACACGGACGTCAATTGTAGACAACATGCTTCTTTCGCTCGATCAATTCGCCCCTAGTTCCTCTGTCTTAGACGACTACCGTCTTTTCAATTCCGCCTTTGAAAACGACCATCACAGTCATTACTCGCAAGAATCCGATTCGCACGGCCGGTACCGTGGACACACGTTCTCCTCGTCGATATCTTCAGAACCCGACTACGGATACGAAGATGGGAATGGCCATTATGGAACAATCACCGCGGCAAAGGGCCGGCGTAGCAACAGCAGTTCCAATCACAAGACAACACCTCGGCAGGTGGGAAGCTCGCGCGGTGGTACCGGGACCATGCCGCGGACAAACACTGCCCGGAAAGGCAGCAAAGGAAGCTCATCCTCTACCGCGGACTACTCATACACAATCCCCAGAGCACGAGCAGACCAGGGCTTGGGCCGACGCTCAGCCAGCTTCGACTGTGGACCAAAACGAGCGTTCGCACCTTATGCCGATCCCAGTGTCGGTCCGGACTCGACGCTGTACGACGATCACGATGCTGCGCCCACCCCGAGTGTCCCCGCAGGACCGCGAAAGGTTCACGATTATAGTAGGACACCGACAACTGCTGCCGCGCGGACACCGATAGCATCGCGACGGAACAGTATGAAATCTGCCCATGCCCCTCAAATTCGAACAGTTCGGCCTGAAAATATCGGCACGGGGACTCTCAAAGCTCGGGACAACGACTTCCAAAATATGAATGATACGGATCTTGACCGCCCTCCGGCCATCACAGCTTCGTTGGACCCTCCTGCTCCTAGCCCGACCATCTCCTATAACAAGCCGGCTTTTCCTCCCCAGGAACCAACAGCAACCACCACAATATCGGCCAACATATCCACCAGCGTCTCCGCCAACCATCCAGCTCCAAGCACAAAAGAACGCCCAGGTTTCTTCCGGCGTGTCTTTCGAATCTAAGAATCCAGCACCTGGACCGGCAGATGCACCAAATATAAACGTCAACGATCTATCACACCTACGAGACACCGAGAGCAGAGAAACCAATGGGACGACCGCCAGCCCAAAGGCACGAGCTCAGCAGGCAGCCAAAAGCTCTGCGGGTGCTTCTCCGTCCTCGATTCGCGCAGGACCCCATCAGGTTGTGAATAAGAAATCTTCATTCTTCCGTAGAAGAAAGAGGTCGGTGCCTGACCACGCTCCTCCACCAATTGTAATTCCTCAACATCTTGCACCACAGACTATGGATACTATGGCGGCTCCAAGTCCTGTGAGCAGCCTGCGGCAAGTCATGAATCCTTACCTTGACGAGGAGTCAGACCGGGAAGAAAATGCGGACTGGGAGGCCAAGGTTCGACAACCGGCATTTTTGCAGGCGCAGAAGAAAAGAGAAAGTGTTTCAGCTCCTGGGGCTCCCAAAACGAAGACTTCTCTTCAGCCCTCGGCTGCCTCTCGTGGCCAGGACCCCTCCCCCCTTGCAGAGAAGGATAGATCTTCGAACGGTGAAGCATCCACAGACTTTGCATTGCAGGACAAGTCCCAGAATGTTGCTGCCTCTGCTACTCTTTCCCCCGTTGTGGAGGATTTCTCGCGCAGCATCAAGTCTCAGGTCGATGCTCCTCAAATCAATGTAGCCAGATTGGCGCTTCCATCTGAGGATCGGGTTTGTGAATCTCCTGTTGATTCTATATCAACGGCATCAAACTATCAGACCGCTGCGAACACCCCACTCATTGAGCAGGAAGAGTCTCGACCAGCTGATGACACCGAGAATCAGACAGATGGACCTGGCGAAGCTATTGAAGATGGACCCACAGCTGCGGACCGAGAACAAGCCCAAAGACTCTTCGACAGCCAGGATCAGGTGGTTGGTAACGAGCCTGCTGCCGCTTGGCTAGGTGACCCTGATCGGGCAATGGTTCGCGAAGCATATATGCGCCTGTACAACTGGTCTAATCTCGACATTGTTGCCTCCCTTCGGGTTCTTTGTGATCGCTTGGTGCTGAAGGGAGAAACCCAACAAGTGGATCGAGTGCTGGATG